TCTTATTCTGGTTTGGATGCAGTGCTAATGCAGGAGAGCAATGTAATTTCTTATACTTCGAGGCAATTAAAGGTGCATGAACGTAACTATCCGACCAATATTTTGGAGTTGGCTGCAGTTGTGTTTGCATTAAAGCAATGGAGACATTATCTATATGGGGTTAAGTGTGAAGTCTATATAGATCAACGTAGTTTACAGTATGTCTTTACTCAGAAAGATTTGAATTTGAGACAGAGGAGGTGGATGGAACTACTGAAGGACTATGATATTACTATCTTGTATCACCCAGGAAAAGCTAATGTTGTGGCAGATGCTTTAAGTAGAAAGGCAGGGAGCATGAGAAGTCTAGCTCACTTACAGGTTTCTGGAGGCCCATTGGCTAGAGAGGTTCAGACTCTGGCTAATGACTTTATGAGGTTGGAAGTACTGGAGAAGGGAGGATTTTTGGCTTGTGTGGAGGCAAGATCTTTCTTTCTTGACAAGATTAAGGGAAAACAGTTTACAGATGAGAAACTGAGCCGGATTCGAGATATGGTATTGCGAGGAGAGGCTAAAGAAGCAAGAATTCATGAAGAAGGCATTTTGAGAATTAAAGGAAGGGTATGTGTGCCCCGCTCGATGATTTGATTCACACTATTCTGACAGAGGCTCATAGTTCAAGGTATTCTATACGTCCTGGTGCAACCAATATGTATCGTGACCTAAAGCAACATTTCTGGTGGAGTAGGATGAAGCGGGACATTGTTGATTTTGTTGCCCAATGCTCGAATTGTCAGCAGGTAAAGTATGAACACCAGAGGCCTGGAGGGACACTTCAGAGAATGCCCATTCCTGAATGGAAGTGGGAGAGGATTGCAATGGATTTTGTAGTTGGTCTTCCAAAGACATTGGGTAAGTATGACTCCATTTGGGTAATTGTTGATAGGTTAACTAAGTCTGCTCACATCATTCAGGTCAAGATGACTTATAACGCAGAGAAGTTAGCCATACTCTATATCTCAGAAATCATTCGATTGCATGGAGTTCCACTTTCCATCATATCAGATAGAGGTACGCAGTTTACTTCTAAGTTTTGGAGAACCTTGCATGCTGAATTAGGTACTAGATTGGATCTTAGTACTGCATTTCACCCTCAGACCGATGGTCAGTCTGAGCGAACGATTCAGGTGTTGGAAGATATGCTTCGTGCATGTGTGATAGAATTTGGTGGTCATTGGGATAACTTCTTACCCATAGCAGAGTTCTCATACAATAATAGCTATCACTCAAGTATTGATATGGCCACATTTAAGGCATTGTATGGGAGGAGATGTAGGTCTCCCATTGGTTGGTTTGATGCATTTGAGGTGAGACCATGGGGTACCGATCTTTTGAAGGAATCGTTGGATAAAGTAAAATGCATTATAGAGAAGTTTCTAGCAGCTCAGAACAGGCAGAAAGAATACGCAGATCGAAAGGTTAAGGACTTGGATTTTATGGAGGGTGAACAAGTCTTGCTTAAAGTTTCACCAATAAAGGGTGTGATGTGGTTTGGTAAGCGAGGTAAGCTTAGCCCAAGGTATATTGGTCCATTTGAAGTTCTGAAGCGCGTGGGGGAGGTAGCTTATGAATTAGCCTTGCCTCCAGGACTGTCAGGAGTGCACCCGGTATGTCATGTGTCGATGCTTAAAAGATACCATTGAGATGGAAACTACATTATTCGTTGGGATTCAGTTCTTCTTGATGGGAATTTCTCTTATGAGGAGGAGCCTGTTGCCATTTTAGATAGAGAAGTCCGCAATTTGAAATCAAGGGAGATTGCATCCATCAAGGTTCAGTGGAAGAATCGGCCAGTTGAAGATTCCACTTGGGAGAAGGAGGCTGACATACAAGAAATATATCCACATCTCTTTACAGATTCAGGTACTCTTTCTCGCCCTTGTTTTCTTTTTGTGATCGTTTGAGGACAAACGATGGGTAAATTGGTATCTATTGTAACGACCTATTTAGTTGTTTCGAGCAGTAGAATTACTTTTGATAAAAACAGACTGGGTCGACGGGTCACGTGACGGACCGTCATGGTCTCGATGGACCGTGACGGACTCCGTCGTCGCACACTTGTGTAATTCTTCTGCTGCTCTCCGCATTTCCTTCGACGACAGGTAGAATGAACTGTCATAAGTACAACGGTTCATCGAGGATCTTCGTTCCAAAACACTTAAAATCAAAAATCTGGGTGCTAGGATCATCTCTCTGAACTTCACGACGGAATTGCAGCATGGACCGTCGTAGAAACGACGGACCGTCACAAATATCCTTACCAAACTTGACTCTCTGAACTTTGTGACGAACCTGCAGGACGGACCGTCGCAGGTACGACGGGCCGTCACGGGCTGCGTAACCTCGACTAGGTCGGGTTTCTGCTAAAAGTTTTAAGGGGTGTTTAGGACTATTCATGACAAACTGTATGAAATTAGTGGGGTAAGTTTAATAATTTAATTACTTGGGGGTTACAGAAGATAACCTTGAAATAAATAGTGGGTTACTTTTATCATCTTTTATAATTAATTATATGGTAATTAGGGTAAACGAAAAAGGGTCTGAAGAAGGAAAAATAAAAAGAACAGAAGAGGGGGAACGAGCGAGAGAGAGAGAACGAAGAGGAAAGAAAAAATGCATTGAGAAGTAACTTGCTTGATCGCGATTCTTCGGTGGAGGTAGGTTATGGTTTATGCTATTTCATAGTAAACTCTAAATAGCGATTGATATGTATTGGGTGGTATTGTAAAGCCTTCTATATGCTTGATTGTGTGGTTGCATGTTATGAATATGTAATGGTGATGGATTAGAATGATGAAACTGTTTAATCTTTAAACTTAAATCCTTTCTATTAAGATGATGCATTGACATAAAAGAGGATTGATGAACTATAACAATGAGATAGGGGATCGGGTGTCACGTTCCTACACGTAGCATTAAGGGATCGGGTGTCACATTCCGACACGTAGTAATAGGGGATCGGGTGTCACGTTCCAACACGTAGTAATAGGGGATCGACTGTCACGTTCCGACACATAGCATTAGGGGATCGGAGTGTCACATTACGACACGATAATATTGGAGGGTATGAATCTTGAATTATGTAAATGTAATTAAATTCAAAGAACCTATTTCCCAAATGATTATGGTGTGGAGGCTTGAGTCCTCATGGGTGCGCTTGGTGTTGTTGCCAATGATTCTTGTACTTGTTGTTGTCACCAGTTAAGTTTTGTAGTTGATTTTATATTATTATTCGATATATATTGCTTTCTATTTTGAGTTAGCCGATGATACCTACTCAGTACGTGTTCCTTGTACTAACCCCTACTTGTAATTTTCTTCTTTGTTATTTGTGGAGTGCAGCAAACGTGCCATCGACTTCGACTCGTCCACAACTCTAGCCAGTCCTCAGCGCATCAGATTTCAGGGTGAGCTATTACTCCTAGCTCGTGCTGGATTCACTCCTTCACGTCTTGATGTCCTGAAGTTCGGACACGGACATCCTTTTACTTATTTTAGCTTCTTAATATTCTTAGATTTAGAAACTTGAGGATAGATGTTCTTGATGTGATGACTTCCAGATTTTGAGGATGATAGTTGATAAATTATAGAAGCTTATTTACTGGTTATATTAATAAGATTTTGAGTCTTCCGCATTTTATTTGTTTCATTATGGTTGAACTGTTGGAGTTTAAATTTGTTGGTTCGCTCGCATAGTAGAATAAATGTGGGTGCCACTCGCGGCTTGTTTAGGGTCGTGACAATCATATCCGACATTATAATGCAAATGACGTCCTTTACTGAAACCATAAACTCTTCATTGAGATTTTCGCTTGATTCACCTTCAAATGTAGCTGGACGTTCTTTATAAATTTAATATTGTTGGAAATTGATTGAGATATTTCATGTTGTGGTAAATTGATTGAAAAAAACAATTCATATTCCAAGTCTCCGACATAAGCGATATAAAATTATTCCTTCTTTCTAGAAAAACTATTGATTTTAGGATAGTTTTCTCCTCCTTTGACTTCTCCATATTCATCCATTTGAAGAATTTGATGATTTCAGAACAAAGCTATAAACTTGGGTCCATAGAAAAATTGTCTGTTTTAAAAACGAACTAATCATTGTCGATTTCTTCAGTTTTCTACTCCTTGTCCTGCTATCTCCGGTTGATTTCTTGATCTCCCGACTCTTGATAGATGAGATAAACTATTTTGTGCCAAAACAGATGAAACACAAAAGGAAATCTTTAAGAAAATAAATTCAAGAAGTAACACTTTAAAAATGGTCACTGCAATGTGTCATGTCACTCCTGACTTAGCGAACTTCTATGAGAATGATGCATGGAGGTATATCTGATGGGGAAAATTCAAAGCCACTCTAGACTTTTCGATAAACCAATGTTTGAAATTTTGGAGGCCATCCTCAAAATTTATGTCCCAGTTAAAGGTATCGGCTTATCTTTCTACTGTCGCTAAGAAAATCGTGGAATTTTTGAGATCCTCTTAAGAATTGTGTCCCAGTTGCAAATCTCAAAATACCTTCAGTCTTGACTTGTTGAGGAAAAATCTTCTTCATGAGAATTTTAGAGTCCCTCTAAAAATTTTGTCCCACTTTCTATTGTAAAGAGGAATAAAAATATTATGGGAATATGATCGAACACTTGTGGCGCCTACGTATACCGTTGAGGTAGGAATCAGGTCAAACGTAATACCCTTCAAGGATTAACAAAAAAAGAACTTTACAAATAAACTAACCCAGGACGACAGAGGCCGCCTACGTATCTCATTCTTGAGAATTCAGGTCAAACGTAGTTCAAATACAAATAAATATTTAAATGGGATAAAAGGGGTGACCGAGGACGATAGGCCTTCTACCTATCTCATTCTTGAGAATTCAGGTGAGACGTAGTTCATTACAAGAGGGATAAAATTTTAAACAAAGCGAATTCAAGAAAACTAGAACAACAGAAATACAAACTAAGATTCACACATAGTATCTCTTGACACAACTGAGTTGATCAGTTTCGGCCATGCGGTGTCATCCATATCTGACAGGACCAAAGCACCTCCAAATAATACTTTGCGAACCATGTAGGGTCCTTGCCAATTAAGCGGAAATTTTCCTTTGTACTCATCCTGGTGTGGGAAAATGCACTTAAGTACTAACTGGCCGATTTCAAAATTTCTAACTCTTACTCTCTTGTAGAATGCACCAATCATCCTTTGTCGATATAATTGTCCATAACAAACGACAACCATTCTCTTCTCATCAATCAACGTTAACTGATCAATAAGCTTGCTGACCAACTCAGCATTACTTAATTCTGCTTCTTGGATGATTCTCAAAGACGATATCTCAACTTCAACCGGTATGACTGCTTCTGTTCCATATACCAGCAAGTATGGAGTAGCTCCAGTAAACGTTCTGACAGTCGTTCGATAACCCAATAAATCATATGGAAACATCTCATGCCAACATCGATGATTGTCAATCATTTTCCTTAGATTCTTCTTGATGTTCTTGTTGGCGACCTCTACAGCTCTGTTCATTTGAGGGCGATAACCAGTTGAGTTTCGGTGAGTAATCTTGAGTTGCTCACATATATCTCTCATCAAGTGACTGTTAAGATTTGCACCACTATCAGTAATAATGGATTCTAGTACCCCAAACCTGCATATCAAATTGTTGCGAACAAAATCCGTTACAACTTTCTTGGTTAGAGACTTCTACGAAGGTGCTTTCACCTACTTAGTGGAGTAATCAATAGCAACCAAAATGAATCTGTGTCCATTTGAACCGGTTGACTCTATCGTACCGATGACATCCATACGTCAAGCTAAAAATGGCCAAGGTGAACTCATAGCATTAAGTTCGTGAGGCGGCACTCGGATAAAATCACCATGCACTTGACATTTATGACACTTCTGCAAAAACTTGCACAATCATTCTCCATATTCATCCATAAATAACCGGCTCGAATGATCTTTCTTGCCAAAATGAGCCAATTCATATGCGTGCCACAAACTCTAATATGTATCTGTTCAATAAGTTTCGTAGCTTCGACAACATCGACACATCTTAGAAGACCCAAATCTGGATTCCTCCTATATAATAATTCTTCCACTTAAAAAGAAATTTAGATCCATAAGGCGTATTTACTTCTTCTAGTTGGATGTAGCATCTTCAGGAAAATTTCAAGACTTCAAATACTTCTTTATATCAAAATACCATGGCAACCGTATGGTTCTGCCTCAACATCTAAACCATGTATCGGATGTTCTTTCAGCTCTATGTCCAGAGGATCAATATAATAAGTATCTGGATGCTTAATCATCGAAGCGATGGTGGCAAGGGCATCAGCCAACCATTCTGTATTATAGGAGTAGGTATGAACTCGCTCATGCGAAATCTTTTGCACAACTTCTGTACATACTGTACGTAAGGTTTAATCTTCGGGTTCTTCACGGCCCATTCTCCTTGAACCTGATGAATCAACAAATCTGAGTCACCGAAAACCAATAGCTCCTGGACATTCATGTCGATGGCAATTTTCAAACCAAGAATACAAGTTTCGTATTCGTCCATGTTGTTCATGCAATTAAATCGGAGTTCAGCCTCCATAGGATAGTGTTGACCAGATTCTATCACTAAGACTTATCCAATACCATTACGTTAATTATTGGACGCTCCATCAAATAATATCGACATCAATGTCCACGAGCTATTGGTTTTCAGAGACTCAGATTTGTTGATTCATCAGGTTCAACAAGAATGGGCCGTGGAGAACCCGAAGATTATACCTTACGTATAGTATGTACAGAAGTTGTGCAAATTATTTCGCATGAGCGAGTTCATACCTACTCCTAGAATACAGAATGAGTTGGCTGATGCCCTTGCCACCATCCCTTCGATGATTAAGCATCCAGATACTTATTATATTGATCTTCTAGAAATAAAGCTAAAAGAACATTCGATACATTATTCACATGTTGAGGCGAAACCAGATGGTTTGCCATGGTATTTTAATATCAAAAAGTATTTGGAGTCTTCAAATTATCCTGAAGATGCTACATCGAAAAAGAAGAAGTTGATACGCGTATAACTCTAAATTTTTTCTAAGTGGAGAAATCCAGTATAGGAGGACTCTAGATTTGGGTCTTCTACGATGTGACGATGTTGTCAAAGATGCAAAACTTATTGAACAGATACATGCTAGAGTTTGTGGCACGCATATGAATGGGCTCACCTTGGCAAGAAAGATCCTTCGAGTCGGTTATTTATGGATGACTATGGAGAATGATTGTTTCAAGTTTGTGCAGAAGTGTCACAAATGTCAAGTGCATGGTGATTTGATCCTTGCGAACTTAATGTTATGAGTTCACCTTGGCCATTTGTAGCTTAGGATACGGATGTCATTGGTACGATAGAGTCAGCCTCTCCAAATTGACACAAATTCATTTTAGTTGCTATTGATTACTCCACCAAGAGGGTGGAAGCACTTTCGTACAAGTCGGTAACCAAGAAAGTTGTAACAAATTTTGTTCGCAACAATTTGATAAGCTGGTTTGGGGTACTAGAATCCATCATCACTGATAATGGTGTGAATCTTAACAGTCACTTGATGAGAGATATATGTGAGCAACTCAAGATTACTCACCTAAACTCAACTGGTTATCGCCCTCAAATGGACGAAGCTGTAGAGGCCGCCAATAAGAACATCAAGAAGATTCCGAGGAAAATGATTGACAATCATCGAGGTTGGCATGAGATGTTTCCATATGATTTATTGGGTTATCGAACGAATGTCAGAACGGTTACTGGAGCTACTCCATACTTGCTGGTATATGGAACAGAAGCAGTCATACCGGTTGAAGTTGAGATATCGTCTTTGAGAATCATCCAAGAAGCAGAAATAAGTAATGCTGAGTTGGTCAGCAAGCTTATTGATCAGTTAACGTTGATTGATGAGAAGAGAATGGTTGTCGTTTTTCATGGACACCGACAAAGGATGATTCGTGCACTCCACAAGAGAGTAAGAGTTACGAATTTTGAAATCGGTCAGTTAGAACTTCAGGGCATTTTTCATCATCTATATGAGTACAAAGGAAAATTTCCGCTAAATTGGAAAGGACCCTACATGGTTCGCAAAGTATTATTTGAAGGTGCTTTGGTCCTTTCACAGATGGATGACACCACATGGCCGAAACCGATCAACTCAGATGATGTCATGATATACTATGTGTGAAGCATAGTTTGTATTTCTATTGTTCTATTTGGCTTGTATTTGCTTTGTTTAAAATTTTATCCCTCTTGTAATGAAATACCTTCAAACTGAATTCTCAATAAGGAGATACGTAGGCGGCCTATGTCTTCCTCGGTCACCCCTTTTATCCCCTATAAATATTTAGTTGTATTTGAACTACGTTCTACCTGAATTCTCAAGAATGAGATACGTAGGCGGCTTATGTCGGCCTTGATTGGTTTATTTGTAATGTTTTTATTTTTTAATCCTTGAAGGGAACTACGTTTGACCTGATTCCTGCCTCAACGGTATACAAAGGCGCCACAAGGGTTCGATCATATTCCCGTAAGATTTCTATTCCTCTTTACAGTAGAAACTAGGACAGAATTTTTGAGAGGGACTCAAAAAATCTCAAGAAGAAGATTTTTCATCAACAAGTCAAGACTGAAGGTATTTTGTGATTTGCAACTGGAACAAAATTATTGGGAGCATCTAAAAAATTCCACTATTTTCTTAGCAACAGTTGAAAGATAAGCCGATTCCTTTAACTGGGACATAAATTTTGAGGATGGCCTCAAAATTTCAAACATGGGTTAATCGAATTGTCAAGAGTGGCTTTGAATACTCCTCGTCGGATAATCAGATATACCTCCAAGCATCAGTCTTAGAGAAGTTCGCTAAGTCTGGCGTGACATGACACTAGGCAGTGACCATTTTAAAAATGTTACTTCTCAAATTTTGTTTTAAAGATTTTCCTTTTGTGTTTCATCTGTTTTGGCATAACATAGTTTGTCTCATCTCTCAAGAGTCGGGAGATCAGGAAATCAACTGGATATAGAAGGATAAGGTGTAGACAACTGAAGAAATCGACGCAGATTAGTTCCTTTTTAAAACTAACAATTTTTCCGTGGAAGCAAGTTTATAGATTTGCTCTGAAATCAGCAAATTCTTCCAATGGATGAATATGGAGAAGTCAAAGGAGGAGAAAACAATCCTAAAATCAATAGTTTTTCTAGAAAGCAGGAATCATTTTATATCGCTTATGTCGGAGACTTTTTTGGAATATGAATTGTTTATTACAATCAATTTCACACAATATGAAATTTCTCAATCAATTTCCACTAATATGAAATTTATAAAGAAGGTCCAGCTAGATTCGAAGGTGAATCAAGCAAACATATCAAGAAAGAGTTTATGGTTTTAGTAAAGGACGTCATTTGCATAATAATGTCGGATATGATATTATGCATTACCCGGAGGGGTCAGTTATTTTATTGTCAATCAAGACGATATACTATTTGGAAGTCATTTTATCGTTATAATCATTGGAGACGATATGATTATACAGAAAGCTCCCAGAAGATCACTATGTTTGTCGATTTAAGCATTATCTTCATTTGGTACCGAGGATGACATCAAGAGTTAAGATCATGCATCGTGAGAAGATTTCATACCTCACAGAAATTTATGTATCGCGACAAGATTTCATGCCTCGCAGAAAAGTTATGCATCGCGAGAAGATTTCATACATCGCAGAAACTTATGCATCGTGATAAGAATTCATAGCTCGCAGAAATTTATGCATTACGAGAAGATTTTATGCCTCGTTTAAACATATGCATCGCGAGAGGATTTCATGCCTCGTAGAAAAGTTATGCATCGCAAGAAGAATTCATACCTCGCAGAAATTTATGCATGGCGAGAAGATTTCATACCTCGTAGAAATTTATGCTTCGCGAGAGGATTTCTTGCCTCGCAGAAAAGTTATGCATCGCAAGAAGATTTCATACGTCGCAGAAATTTATGCATCGCGAGAAGATTTCATACCTCGCAAAAATTTATGCAACGCGAGAAGATTTCATACCTTATAGAAATTTATGCGTCGCAGGAAGATTTCATACCTCAAAGAAATTTATGCATTACGAGAAGATTTCATGCCTCATTGAAATTTATGCATCGCGAGAGGATTTCATGCACCGCAGAAAAGTTATGCATTGCCACAAGAATTCATACCTCGGAGAAATTTATGCATCGCGAGAAGATTTCATACCTCGCAGAAATTTATGCATCGCGAGAGGATTTCATGCCTCGCAGAAATTTATGCATCGCGAGAGGATTTCATTCCTCGCAGAAAATTTATGCATCGCGAAAAGATTTCATACCTCGCAAAAATTTATGCATCGCGAGAAGATTTCATACCTCGCAGAAATTTATGCATCACGAGAAGATTACATGCCTCGTTCAAATTTATGCATCACGAGAGGATTTCATGCCACGCAAAAAGTTATGCATCATTAGAAGATTTCATACCTCGCAGAAATTTACGCATAGTGAGAAGATATTCATGCCCCACAAGAAGTCATGCACTGCCAGAAAACGAAATCGTGTATCCCAATGGAAATGTTTACCCATCGGCATCAACTGCATTCTTTATTTTGATAAAAGTAAACATCAAAGGAGCATGGAAGACGACATCAAGAGAAACATCAGCACTGCATCAACTTTCATTTATGTTAATATCAAATGAACAATATATTGAAGATTACATTACAAACATAAGACTTAAACTTTGCTTTACGTCAAACTGATCAAGGTGACGTCAAATGAAGAAGGAGAACAACTGAGTGTCAACACGGTAAAAGACACTCTCTCCCATTTGAATTGCATTTTTAAGATGACGAGTTTTACCTCAGTCATTGTCGAGAGCATCCGAAAGGATGAATTCTCCAAAAACATAACAACAGGTGCGGACGACATCTAAAATGATGCAGCACAATGTGGAACTTTAGCGACTTCCACCACAATAAAACAACACCCCTATAATAAAGGCATGTGGGTTTTTCTTTAGGTCTGTGCGTTTCAGTCTTGCATCCGAAAATTTGGTATCCGTCAGAATCAAGTTTCCAATCTGAGTGATAATGCACCAAGAGCTTTAAAAATTATGTCCGTGTAGGTTCTTAATTATGGGTTTGAAGCGTGCCACATTCATGGATAAGAGGTTACAAGCCTCCTTTTCATACTCGATTGTATTTTTCACTTATACTGAACCGAAGGTTATATAACTTGAAATTTCAACGGAAAATAACGTACATCACAAAAGTATACAACATTCAATATTATAAGTACACTTACTGTTTTGTAGCAAGATACAAAATTCAATAAACACATAAAAATGATACCCACAAAAATATTTATATAAAAAATTAATTTCTAAATATTATAAGTTCCTCAGTAATTTAAACAAGGAACCAAAACTCCTATTAATATGTATAGGTTGGTTTGAAGACTGAAATAGTAAAAAAAATATTGAAATTAGTTTTATCTAATTTGAAATATATATGGTTTTAACTAGACAACCATTTATCCAATATATTAACTTCATTCCTCGTTTAAATAAAAAATACAAACAATAACAATATATCAGTTGTGATTTTATAAGTTAGGTTAACGGAGGTAATATTATGGAGACATTATTTCTATCTTTGTAGGGTAGAAAGTTGTTCTAGATAGGCCGTTAATGTAAAATAAATGTAATCAAAGCATCATAGAAAGAAAATAGTTCGGCCAGAAAATAGCTAGCTAGATAAATAAACAAATGAAGCAATATGTAATAGTGAAAATTAGGTAAAAAAGATACTACATGCACACTAAATAATACTACAACACTCAGCCACCTATTATTCATTAAAACATTATCTTAGGGTTATATCCTTAGTAAGTTGAAGAAGCGATACAGTGTCCCTAATTAACCCACCCCCCCCATAGTTTCTTCTTTGTTTACCTATACTTCTCATCAAACTTCTCACACCTCCTTAATGATGCATAAGGGCTCCTATTCTTCACATGCACATACCACTAGTCTCATTTTCTTAATTTTTTCTACTACGAAATTTGTTATATAAGAAATGTATACATAAGAAGAGAGAAATTTTATGCAAAAAACATAAGAGAAATTCTCTCTATTTATAGCCGACAACGGTTAAAGGTCAACACTTTTTATAAAAAAAAAAGACAATCTTTTAGAAAGGTCACATGCAACCCTTTGGAAAAGGCACAACCTTTCCAATGGTCAAAACCCTCTAGAAATGATCCAACCTTTCTTAAAGTTCACAATTCTTTGGTAAAGTCACAACCTTCAGGAGAGTCACAACCCTTCATTTCCTGTAACACTCTTAAAACCCAACACCTAGTAAAATATTGCTGATGCACCAGATCGATAATTTGTAAGATTGATGCATAATAAATGTACAATCATTGTCAAACAAGTCACTATTCATATTGATAATATTCACAAACACTTGTATGTTATTTTATGCCTTTTATATATATACTCAAAGACATAATTTGATAGATAATTTTTTAAAACATAGTGTACCGATAGTTCAACTTATATGTGCAAGACACGTGAGCAGAAACTATTTAAATAAAAATACAACGAGATTGTAATGTTGAAATATTCTCCAACTTTTATGTTCTCTCTTATTTCATCACTAGATCATGATGGTGAATAAACATTATAAGATATCATTTTACGTCATCAAAATTAACTTTCTTAAAATCATTATATATAGAAATTATTATCTTCATCTCCTCGTCATTGCAAATTCCAGTGTTACCTAGGTTCCATCATTATCATTTGAAATGGAACCTATGATAGGATCAAACATACTTCTCGAATAAGAAGTAAAGCGGTCGTGTCAAGTAAATAACCCAACTAGTGAGGTTGGGATCGTTCCCACGAGGAAAAGAGTCTAGACTTAACTTCAACCTATTATTACTATTGTTTGGTCAATGACTTCCTTGGAAAGTAAAAACATAAAAAGGGGGGTTTCTATCTCTAAATAAGTGAAAATAAATAGCGAACTTGAAGGAGACAATTGACAGCTTTTAGTGTTGGGTTTTAATTAGTTAATCAAAGTAACTAGGGTTTACGTGTTCCCCACAGGTTCATAACTTAATAACTCTAACTATAACAATTCATTCCTAGTATCTTGCATGCAAAGTGATAAGTTATGTATTTCTAAATCCTTGGTATGGCATCCAGAAAATCTCACTCCGCACCTTGGTCCGGCTACATGTGTTGCTATCCTAACCCTTATCCTTACCTCATATTAAGCATCGTATTCGATATTTGACTAAGTTATTACCTCGTACCAATCAATAATAGCCTATTAGATAGTATACACTAAATTTATGTTAATAATTCTTTTCCTATTGGCTACCTCCTTGGTCCGGAAAGTAGCATTAAGGCGTGTTCTAACGTTGGCCATCCGTTAAAAAGACTTCTAAACGAAAGAATTATTAATACATGCATGACACTATTCTAGAATTGTTATAGCCAAATGATTGCAAAGGATAAAACATGGATACTATTGTATAAAGATTTTGTAGTGAGTCATAGTGTGTCGCTTGAGGACAAACAACGAATTTAAGTTGAGGGTGTTGATATACCGTGGTTTCACGGTATAATTAATACTTTTTCCTTAAGTTTAGTGTGTCCGAAAGTCTTTTTGTGCTAGTTTTTGTATGAGTTTCTCTTTGTTTTGCAGGAAATCTGTCCAAAGTTGAATGCGGAGATTTTGAGCGAAGAAATGCATAAGAGACCAGCTACGGAGCTTATGACGGTCCGTCGTGCTTGTGACGGTCCGTAGGTGGAAGCGTAGTGCAGCTGCTAAAGGAAGATGGGGAAGTCTGACCAAGTGTGGGATTATGAAGCTTGTGACGGTCCATCGTGGCTCTGACGGTCCGTCCTGCAGGTTCATCGTGAAGATCAGAGAAGTCATCCCAGTACCTAGATTCCAAGAGTTTAATTGTTTTGGAACGAGACCCTCGACGGACCGGTGTGCCTATGACGGTCCGTCATACTTGCAGTCGAGAGGAATGAAGATAGCAGCAGAAGAAATTGCATGCTATCACTATTAGGCTTGAATTTTGTGGGATTAGAACATGACACAGACTCACCATGCACTAACACATATCCTCTTCAATTTCTCACCGAGGTGCTAATAATTCTGGTATTGCAACTAGTGTCCTCACTTCAAAACAAAATCCTCATTTTTCACACAATAATTTCAGTTTTAGTATAAAGATTACTTTTCAACACTCGCTCTCAGAAAACAAAGTCACACTCATTCATACCTATTGCCATAAGCTTGCCCTTATTTTCACTGCCTTAAGTTCGCTATACAAACCTTAGGATCACGATAGGACTTTCTTCGCTTGTAACATAGGCTCAGAGTCATGTAGGGTATATTTAGGTATACTTTAGTGTCTTTTTTCCCTCCTTGACATATCGGCTAAACCTTCCACTTTCTATCACTTTGTCTCGCCCAGTTTCTCATATTCTCTCACCATGCTATTTTCCCTTCTTTCTTCATTTGTGTAAGTGACTCTTTTTTTTCTTTTTTTTCCTTACTTTTCTTTCAAAGAGTTCTTGAGTCACTTTACTTTTGTTCTTTCTCTTTTTGTTCTTTCAAACCCTCTTTCCAGAGCATTCCTTAAAACATCCACCCTAAACTCATGGCTTTGCCATGAGTCAAGGTAAACAATACCAAAATTTGGGTCAGGGCCATAACGAAGGTTGTTTATGCATTAGCCACCCTCAACTTATGCTTTTGGTATAAGCTGAGGTGCACATGTCCAAGGAGGGACCGTGGCCAACATATTCTTCAAGATCAGTTGGGGTGAAAAAGAAAGGTCAAATTTTAAGCTTAGATTATTTGGATCAAAGAAGGATAACTTTCATTTGGTTTCTTTTATTTAGGCTAGAAATGGGCTATCTTGAATAAGGGCCTATGATCCTTTCCTTATTGTCTGTTACAACTTACTTTTAGCAGGACGAACCAGACAAGTTTTAGCTCAGTACCAATAGTGGACTATTCAAATTTCCTCACACTCACTTGACATCTCATCACTATACCAGATTATTAGACACCTAGTTCGAATTGAGGATTTAGGGTAATGCAATGGTGCCATTCTATTTCATGCTTAGAGCCACACAATTATCAGTTACTATGCCTACTCGTGCAACATTTTCCAGTTTTATCAGGATATCATTTAAGCCATCATGCTTCAGAGTTAAACTATGTACAAAAGATATAAACATGCCGGTTCAACAGAAAAAGTAATCAGTCTTTTGGGGAAAAAGAACACAGGCAAGAAAACCCCAAAAGAGGATAGTGAGTTGGGGTACTCAAACTTCACCCTAACACTCACTTTCAATTTACCCCACCCCCAACAAAAAAGCATGCAATTGTTCCCAATGAAAAAAAATCTAAATATTAGAGTGGTAGGTGAAGCAAACCTGTGGCGCAAAGCGCCGTCGATAAGCAAGTTGGTGGGTCCGGTTCCCCGGAACCCACGTCCTCTGCAATCTGGACACTCTCAGTGGTGTCTTTAGCAACAACCGCACCATCAGTAGTGCCTCCTGTTGTCTCTATAGTGCAGCAGCTAGACGCCCCAGCCGCTAACTGTGATGCTTTGATCTTGTGCGCCTCCTCCTCAGCAAGTGAGGCTCTCCCCGCAGCCTCCATTTCTCGGCGCTCCTTCTTCCTTGCTCACGCCTCATCCTCTGCTCGACCCCTTTTGCCTCTTGTCACTCTCTCGAGGGGGAGGTGGTGGAATTTATGAAGTAGTAAATAGGGCTGCCAGCACGGTGTCCTCAGCAGGCTCGACAGAAGGGACCTCAGACTCCGGCACCCTCGCCTCTAGGATCGTGTCGATGTTTGCACAAAGATTGTCGACTGCAGCCTAAAGAGTCGACACATCCACCGGAGGGGCTGGTCGGGCTAACACTCTTAACTTAAAGGCGTCCAGGCGCTGGTTGACCTTAGCAATCTTTCGCTCTGTAAACTGCTACATGTTTCTCTCTAGATGCACTTCAGACTCAGTAATCGACTTCTGCATCCACGGCTAGATATGATGCAGAAGAGTGGCCATTTGTGCCTATAGTTTTTGGACCCTAGCAAGCGGGACCAGCACCGGTAGAAGGGCTTTGCGAGAGGAGCTCGGGGCTGGGCTACTACCCGGGATAGACTCGACCGGGGTAGTGTGAGTGGGCGCCTGTGTAGTTGTGCGTGCCTGGGCTACTATATCCGCAAGATCATCAGCAAGTGGGGGCAGCTCTGGACGAGGCCCTCTGCGTGGAGCCAACTCATTTGCCTCGTCTCTGATGAGGACGACGTCAACAGTGCTCTTCGGGGTCTTCAGCTCATCTACATGCCATATATCCACACCTGCAGACCTGCAAAGGGCAGGTAGTAGTGACCTTGAATTCCCTCTCGTGCATGACTGGCTGGAGAAGCCATGCGAAGTCCACCTCGAATCCGGCTATCATTGTCGCCATCAACAATGCTAGATCTAAAGTAAGGATGTTATCAGCAGCTGTGGGGGAAAGGCAGTGACGGACAAGCAGCCATAGGAATTTTGCGGTGAACGTGAGGTTGGCCTTCTTGATGGCCCCCTTCGACTCAGTCACCCAATCGTCACCCTCTCCATCGACTGATAGGTGCAGGGCCACCCACTTCTTGGTGGTCTCTCTCAGTGCTTGCTCGCGCAAGAACTTGCCATCCTTCACTATCTGCCACCGGTAGTCAAACTCGGCAGTGATGGGGGGTCCGAGTAGCATCTGCACTCTCGCCGTATAGAAACCGGCGGATGGCTGGCAGGGAAATGTCAACCTGCACGCCTCGGACTCGAACCTTTTCCAGTGGAGCCTGTTTAGCGGGAGCAGCCCGCCTATCGATTTGTGATCGGAGAGTCTCTACGTAGGATGCGTAGAACTCTCGGACCATTTCCTCGCAGTATCGTCCCAACGGACGTGCTGTCCACTCTAAGTGATGTCTGGTTAAGAGGTTGTGGATCTACGGCATTGTTAGGAGACTCCCTATAAGTACCTGCCGCTCCAAGGTGAGTGTTTGAGTCATTACTCCTTTATCTGTCAGGAACTTGGCGTCGGAGTAAACTTGAAATTGGCCGTCGACACACCACCGATTTGGCTGGTCAGAGGCTGGGGTGGGGACTTGAGCTGGTGCGCCGGTTGTAGAGTCTGAACTGTCAGCCTCATCAGACGAGGCCGACGCTGCAGCAGTGGCGGGTGCAGGAACCTCAGCAGAGCCAGAAGCTTCCTCAGACCATGATACTCCTAAGGAGCCAGACGCTCCTTCCTCATTTGTCGCTGACCCAGAGGGTATGCCGGTTAGTGTGAACTCCTCATCAGACTGGAAGGCAGTGACTACGCCGGACACCACCATCTTGGGTGTGGCTCAGGGAGCACGTGCAGCACGAGAAGGTGTGGAAGTGCCTGGGGGCACATACTCAGGGTGCCGCTCATAATCAGAGCCAATGATCATACGTGCAGACGGGGCGACGGACTTGGATTGCCCGCGTGCATAGGTTCAGTCTTTCTTGGGTGCCATAGTAGATAGTACCTGCAAAGGATCACTATTAGTATGAGTAGTGGCAAACAAGACAAGCGAAACCATATGAAATAAAATAGTGAAAATAGTATGTAATTGTTGTAGACACAGTGACACACGACGGGCCTGGTGACGGCTCGTCCGTCATGTTTTACTTGGACTATGTATATATAGAGAACCCTGAAGGAGAGTCTTGGACAAGCATGACGGTGTGTGCAGGACGGACCATCACACGAACGACGGTCCGTCGTAAATGTATGTCGTAGAACACTTGAGAAAAAATATGGAGACCCTTAGGAGAAGGGTCTCTGACCGTCATGACGGTCATGCAGGACGGACCATCGTGGGTACGACGGTCCGTAACATGTGTCCGTTGAGGGCCACTTAGAAAAAAATGAGAGACCATTAGAAACAGGGTCTCTGACAACCAGAACAGTTGTGCAGGACGGACCGTTGTGTGAACGACGGTCCGTCACATGTGTCCGTTGGGACAGGGTGCTAGGGCTTTTGCAACGGACCCTACGATCGTCTGTCGTGGGTACGACGGTCCGCCATCGGGGTCTTGTTCTGCATGACAGTGATAGAACTAAGGTTACCCTAAGCATCCCCGATGAACCCACATCGACCTTGTAGTGTTTTGGACCTATATGTGTCTAACCCAACTACCTAGAAAACTAGCAATGCAAAAGCACCTATGTCTAAGGTTGTAAACATATCAATTTCGAACATTTGTAACCTAGGTTAGGAAGAGTCATCTAGTGTAAACAAAATACAATGAGGAACTAAGCTTAATACTAACTAGTAAACACAAATGCAAGATCAATGAGTATAAATTTGAGACACATACCTTAGAAATGGAGAAAAACAAATGCACAAGTACGTGGTGGCAAGGTAGACACCTACAACAGCAGTTTTCACTAGTAGATGAACACTTTAGGGCTTGGAAGAATTGTGAGGGGGGCAATGATCGAAGGGAGGGAATATGGAAGTTGAACAGAGAGAGTAATGGGAGAAATAATAAAGTAATGGGGGGAAATATGGAGGGGTGGGAGTTTAAACAGTCTGATTTTGGAAAAGGGTCCAGCCGGGTCGGGTCGGGTATACCTCATTAATCACGTGACTAATCCCCGACGACGGTCCGTTGCAGTTGTGACGGCCCGTCGTTAGTTCCGTCGTGTGTGCCCTAGTTTCAAAATAGCAGAAAAATGTACCTGGTACGACGGATGTATACGACGGTCCGTCGATGTGTCCGTTAGTTACTACTGCAGAGTAATTTTCTGCAGAATTTCCTGGTGATGTGCCTGCAAATTTAAAACTGATTAATAAAAAAATGCTACCATTACTAAAAAGACGATAAGTATTGGGTTGCCTCCCAACAAGCGCCTGATTTAATGTCGCGGCACGACTGGGGACACTCGATTACTCAAACTTCATCAAGATTGTATGCCTCTATCACATCATTTGCCGATTCAGCATGCCCGAAATAGATTTTTATGCACTGTCCATTCACCTTGAACCGCACACCCTCCTTAGTTTCCAACTCAACTGCTCCATGAGGGAATAGTTGGGTAACCAAGTAAGGACCAGTCCATTGGGACTTGAGCTTGCCCGGAAACAAGCTCAACCTGGAATTGAATAAAAGCACCAAATCCCCGACCATAAATTCTTGCTTTTTAATTTTGTTGTCATGGTACTTCTTCATCTTTTATTTGTATAGTGTTGAGCTCCCATAGGCTTTTAGGCGAAATTCATCGAGTTCATTCAACCCATTTAACCGTTGCTCTGCAGCTTCGCTCCAATCCATTTTGAACTTCTTCATAGCCCACAAGGCTTTATGCTCTAACTCAACCGGAAGTTGACAAGTTTTCCCATATACAAGTTGGTATGCAAACATACCTATGGGAGTCTTATATGCTTTCCGGTAGGCCCAAAGAGAATCATCAAGCCTCCTTGACAAATCTGTTGTACTGAAATTCACTATTTTTGACAATATCTGTTTTATTTCCCGATTCGACACTTCAACTTGCCCACTAGTTTGAGGGTGGTAAGGAGTGGCCACATTATGGCGAACCCCGTATTTCTCCAATAACCCCTTGAATAATCTATTGCAGAAGTGGGAGCCCCCATCACTAATAATGGCCTTTGGGGTGCTAAAACGAGAGAATATGTTCTTTTTCAAGAATGTAGTGACACTCTTCCCTTCATTGTTTGCGAGGACTATGACTTCGACCCATTTAGATACATAATCGACTGCTATTAGAATGTACTTCATTCCATGAGAACTAACGAAAGGGCCCATAAAGTCAATACCCCAAACATCAAATAACTCAATCACAAGAATGGGGTTTAGAGGGAGCTCTTTCTTTCTTGAAATACCACCATCTCGTTGACATTTGTCACATGCTTTAGCGAACCCATGAGCATCTTGTTGAAGAGTTGGCCAATAATAACCACATTGTAATAACTTATGAGCGGTTCGGATACCACTGTGATGTCCGCCAACGGGTGAAGAATGGCATGCCTCCAACACACACAACATTTCACATTCTGGCACGCAACACCTAATAAGCCTGTCGGCACAACTCCTATACAAGTATGGTTCATCCCAAAAGAACTTCTTCACATCGTACATGAATTTTTTCTTTGATGAAAGGACAAGTCTAATGGAACAATATCACTAGCCAGATAGTTCACAAAATCTGCGAACCATGGAATCAAGTCTTGTGAAGCAGCCAATATATGTTCATCGGGGAAAGTATCATCAATGTCAGTCTTATCCCCTAACTCTCTCATTGCTTCATCCTCGAGACGAGACAAGCGATCAACAACTTGATTTTCAGTTCCTTTTCTATCCAGCACTTCAAAGTCAAATTCTTGCAGAAGTAATACCCAACGAATCAGCCTAGGTTTCGCATCCTTCTTCGCCATCAAATATCTCTATGTTGAATGGTCAGTATGCACTATAACTCTAGTACCTAGAAAATAGGAGCAAAATTTCTCAAAAGCAAAGACTACTGCAAGGAGTTCTTGCTCAGTCACTGTGTAGTTCTTCTGAGCTTCATTTAGGGCTTTACTAGCATAGTAAATGGGGTGAAGGATTTTGTTTTTTCTCTGTCCCAATGCTACACCAAGAGCCACCCCACTAGCATCGCACATTACCTCAAATGGACTGTTCCAATCTGGAGAAATAATGATAGGCACAGATACTAACTTTTCTTTTAGCTCACCGAATGCTTTAAGACAGGATTCACCAAAACAAAATTTACATTCATTCTCCAACAATTTGCACAATAGGTGTGCAATATTTGAAAAGTCTTTGATGAATCTCCGGTAAAAACCTGCATGCCCAAGAAAGCTTCTCACACCTTTCACAGAGATCGGTGGGGGAAGTCTCTCTATTACCTCGACTTTTGCTCGATCAACCTCTATGCCCTTTTGTAAAATGTGATGACCCAACACAATACCCTCTTTCACCATGAAATGACACTATCCCCAGTTTAGTACTAAATTGCAGTCTTCACATCTCTTAAGAACCACAGATAAATTGGTCAAACACTGCTCGAATGAATCACCAACCACAGAAAAATCATCCATAAAAAAATCTATTGTATCCTCCACCATGTCAGAAAATATTGACATCATACATCTCCCAAAGGTTGCAGGTGCATTGCACAACCCAAACGACATTCTTCTGAACGCAAAGGTCCCCTATGGACAAGTGAAAGTGGGTTTCTCTTGATCTTCTGGTGCAATAGAAATCTGATTATACCCCGAATACTCATCAAGAAAACAGTACCACCCTTTTCCGGCAAGTCTATCAAACATCTGATCCATGAAGGGCATAGGAAAATGGTCCTTTTCAGTCCATGAGTTCAGTTTACGGTAATCCATACACACCCTCCATCCAGTAACCGGTCTCATTGGAACAAGTTCATTCATTTTGTTGGGGACCACTGTCACTCCTCCTTTCTTAGGTACACACTGAACCGGGCATACCCAACCACTATCGGCGATTGGATAGATTACTCTGGCATCCAACCACTTGATGATTTCCTTCTTCACAACCTCTTGCATAGGAGAATTTAAGCGTCTCTGGTGCTCAATACTCGGCTTATGATCAGGCATGAGTTGGATTTTATGAGAGCAAATACCAGGAGGGATCCCAATAATGTCCGCAATGGTCCACCCAATAGCTCTTTTAAACCTTTTTAGTACCTTCACCAAACTCTGAACCTGTTGTTTATCCAGGTCTGATGCAATGATTACCGGCAAGGTGTCACCATTTCCTAAGAATTCATACCTAAGATGTGGTAGGAGAGCTTTCAATTCAACTTTTAGAGCCTCCTCTATCGATGGTTTCGCGGGTAAGGACTCACAATTTATCATATCAAGCTCAAATTTCTTCAGTTTAAACCGAACATCACCTCGGTCAAGAGCCACGACTAATGACTCATACTTTTCAATGCAATCGCTATCAAAGTTCATTATCACTGCCGTTAATGCTTCGACACCTAGACGTTCTTCTATTTGTGTCTCAGATGTCTCACCTATGTTGTAGGATATAGCAGATGCCGATTGGAGCTCACCAGTATGCCTCATCGACCTACAAATATTAAAGGTCACTTCCTCATTGTTCAACAGAAATTTCATCTGCCCCTTTTCCATGTTTACTAAGGCTCTTCCCGTAGCTAGGAATGGCCTCCCAAGGATAATAGGCACTTCAAAATCAACCTCACAATCAAGAATAACAAAATCATCCGGAAAGATGAATGACTCCACTTTTACTAGAACATCATGAAGTATCCCTATGGGTCGTTTTACTATTCGATCAGCCATCAGTAGCCGCATCGCAGTGGGCTTGGGTCACCCAAAC